GATATTCAATAAAAAATCAGGAAATTCTTCAATTCAATCATACATGATGTTTGTTCTCTTTCATGAAATTTTTTTATTAACCATCACTAGTTTAAAATATGGACTGAATTTCCTATATTTTCGAAATTTGATTAGGGTTGATAAATGAGGTCCCATCATCCTCCAAGTTGATCATCTAAATATTATTTATATCAAATAAATTTGATACATATATTAAATGATTACATGGTGTTCGCAAATTGGAGTTTGCGAAATTACTGCTCAAATTTAAATTATGAGAATAATTTTCAGATTATATAATTAAGATTGTGGCTTATTAATGCTAGTAGGCATAAATTTCAACATTTTAATAAATGTTAGTTGTGATGACTATAAATGATTTAACACTATTATTTATTGAACGCATCAAATTAATTTAATTGAGAACAAAGCACTTCCTATTTTTGTTTAGAAAATTCTTTTACACATCATGCCAACATCATAGTTCTTCCTATTATGACTAGCTTATGGTAAGGGTCCATTTTTTTCACCTAATTATTTTGATAGTGCAGTATATGTAAAATTGAACTATCACAATGCACTGAGATTAAAAATAAAGAATATTGAGAATAAATATGTAGTTTGAATCCTTATCCCAAATAGGCAATATTTTATAACGCTGGAAAAATGATTGTCAATTTGATTGGATATTTCTCTCAGCCTTTTGGAGGAATTACGAAATTGAAAATAATATATAAATGCATCATCATTTGAATGGTCGCAAAATATCATTCGAATCAGAAGTTCGAAAAATAGCATATTTAGATGCATTTACTTATCAAAGAGATAAATAATATCTCACGCACCAATTTTATATGCTCCAACACGAATTAATGTCATAGAAAGACAATTTGTTAACATTATATTTGACATATCTATGAGATGTCTGAAGAGTGATAATATTCGATTCTAATAAAAAAAAATTTTAAACGAAAATAGAGCAATTAACAAAGATGGTCTCATTAATGAGGTATATACTCTTGATAAATATTTAGATATAACGAATTTTAAAATCTCCTAAGAGGTTCAAGTACATGAAATAATGAAACTTGAGATATCTCAATAAATTATGTCATTATGGAAAAAGAAATATAATCGAAAAGAAAAATTGTTGACAATAATTTTGCACATGATGTATTGATAGTGAATAATCAAAATAAATGTATCGAAATATATCAATCAAAGTAATGTTAACCAAATAAATGGGATGCATGTGGTACAATTGCATTAGCGATATTTATTGAGAAAGATTATTAAAATGATGATATCTGCCCATATGTGTTTTTATAAAAGAAACAAATATAGAATTTGCAATTATAGCAATTTATGTTAATGATTTAAATTTAATTGGAACATCTGAAGAACTCAATAACACTGCAGATTATTTAAACAGTGAATTTGAAATGAAAGATTTGGGAAAAATCAAATTCTATCTCAAGTTGTAGATTGAACATTTTCTACAAAGGATTATTTGTTTGTTAATCTACATACACAGAAAAAGTTTTAAAGCATTTTTATATTAATAATGCACATCTATTAGTATCACCTATCGTTGTTCGATTACTTGATATGAAAAAAGATCAATTTCGTCCATTTGAAGAAGGAGAAAAGATTTTTTGTCCTGAAATATCATATCTTAGTGCAATTAGAGCATTAACTTATCTTGCAGATTGCATTTGACCCAAGCTTGGTTTTCCTGTAAATCTCCTTACAATATATAGCTATATGACAACTCAAAGATATTGGAATGGTGTTAAATATATTTTTCGCTACCTAAAGGGCACTATTGATTTAGGATTATTTTATTCTTAAAAGTCGGGATCTACTTTAATGGGATATGCAGATACATGTTATTTCTCTAATCCATATAAAGTTAAATCATAAACAAGATATGCATTTACATGTTGAAGAACAACTATGTAGTGGAGATTTGTGAAGTAATCTTTGACAGCAACACCATCAAATCATTCTGAAATTATTGTATTTCATGAAGCAGGCTGGAAATGTATATGATTCAAGAACATGACTTATTATATCCAAGCATTATGGGGGTTAATTTCAACAAATGATAGTCTAACAATTTTGTATAAGACAATATAGCTTGTATTGCACCACACAAAGGAGACTAAATCAAAGGTGACAGAACGAAACATATTTTTCCAAAATTCTTTCATACGCATGAGTTTCGAAAGAATGACGACATTGATATTTAACAATTTCGCTCAAGTGACAGTGTGGTCGATTTATCTATAAAAGCATTGTCGACATCTATATTCAAGAAATTGGTTCATGAGATTGGAATGCATTGATTCAAAAATTTTTAGCGATCAACATTAGGGGAGTGGCTGTACTATTCTTCCCTTGCTAAAGTTTTATCCCACTAGATTTAACTAGTAAGGTTTTAATGAGATAATATTTATTTTTAATACTCTAAAAATAACTGTATTATTGTTCATTCATTTGACTTTTTTGTCCCATTAGATTTTTATCAAACAAAGTTTTAACGAAACAAATATTTTTTAATGTGTCATTTAAGGGGGAGTGTTGTAAATACTAAGTTTATTAGTGAATGACAATTGTACTCCTACAATCCTAGAAATTATTATCATTGTATCCTTGATTCTTCCCTATAAATAAAGGCTAATTTTTATTTTGCTCAAGTTTGGTAGCAATTTTTCATCTAAAAAAATCAATTTTTTGACTGTTGTTTCACTATTCCAACTGTTATTTTTGACTTCTTCACTCACAGGTAGGATCCAATTTTCTCTCTAAGGTCAAAAAATCAATTTTCATGATCACTACCGAACACGCCCTTTATCTTATCTTTTTCTCTCTTTTCATAACAAATTTCTTAATTTTCTAATTTGTCTTTATTTAATATGCATTGTCATCAACAAATATGTTCTACTCGTATTTAAATTTATTTTATTTAATATACGAATGTAATAAAAAATGTAAATACAATTTATATTATCAATAATATTAATTACATTTTCTTGATCTGTGTGAAAACGAAAGCAAACTTAGCCCTTGCTTGACCTCCATTTTTTGAAATGAAAATAGGCAGAATAGTCTTTTTTTTTTTTTATATATATTAATGAGTGGTTGATGGAGAAGAAATTTTTATTTTTTATTTTTTTCATTTTACGTGTAATATTATTTTATGGAAGATTGTGAGATTGAAAAATATAAGAGAGAAAAATAAAATGTAATTTAATGAAGATCAAATTGGACTTATTTTTATATGATGGATGGAGCAAAAGACAATCCGCGTTAGCTTCTAGCACAAGGATGTCTTGCCCAACATTTAGGGTAAAATCTGATGTCACTGAAATTTTGGTCACTTAAAACTCTTTTTATCTTAATGCGTTACTAATTTAAGTTTCAAATTTCAATATTTCGTTACCCACCGTCTTTCAAATTTAAAAAAAAAAAAATAATAATAAAATAAAATTGCTTAATTGACAACCATTCCGTATCAAAACTTTCACGTCCTAGTTGCATTGTGTGATAGTTTGTCACTACACCATGTCATAGTAGTGTTAAAATAAAAAATACACACTTTCAACATTTTTATTTTAAGGTACTATAACTCATATTGCACTAGTTTCTACAGTGCTTCAAAGGCGATCAATTATGATATAATATCTATCAACTAAGCAACTTTCTGTTAATTCAAATGACAATAAACCAAATTTGATAAAAAAGCAATTAATAATAATAAAATAAAATTGCTTAATTGACAACCATTCCGTATCAAAACTTTCACGTCCTAGTTGCATTGTGTGATAGTTTGTCACTACACCATGTCATAGTACTGTTAAAATAAAAAATACACACTTTCAACATTTTTATTTTAAGGTACTATAACTCATATTGCACTAGTTTCTACAGTGCTTCAAAGGTGATCAATTATGATATAATATCTATCAACTAAGCAACTTTCTGTTAATTCAAATGACAATAAACCAAATTTGATAAAAAAGCAATAGAATTTAAAACTAGGTGATCAATAACCTAGTTAAGACATTAAAATTTAGTGAGCCAATTTTAATTTTACTAAAAGTTCAGTAACTACATATAAACCATGCAAAATAATGTGTACAAGCAACTTTTGTTCTCTGGTCTGCTGCGGCATATCCGCGATTAAACTCTTTCACGATGCTCCAGGCGCAGGACAGTGGGGGACCTTTAAAGTTGGAGTTTAACCTTTAAAGTAATGTCACATTGAGCCTAAAATTTACATTTCAACTTTCTTTACACGTAATGTGTTTAATCGATGCACAAGTAAACTTCACGTCATTTGCGGTGGTTTCCAATCAAGAAGGCAAGGAACATGTACTCGAGAAGTTTTGAATGAGAAATTGGAAAAGTAGTCCAAGGCATTCAATGAGGTATAGAACAAATTCGTGCACTTAGCGCAGGCTGGCTCCAGGATCCAGCACCACCCAGACAATTGCATCATGCCGTAACAGATTGTCATGTGCTCTCCCCACGCAACATGCATATCATTACACTTTCCAGTACACACATAACAAAGCTGTCATATAGCATGGTCGACGCCACATAACAATCAAGGAATCAGTGGACAGTACAAAGATAATTAGGTACAAAACAAGCTGAACCTCTATGCTCAAGATGTTATAACACATGTACTGTCAGTTTTGAAAAAGCTTGAGCTCATTTTATTCCTCAAGAATTTCTATCTCGTCCTTCAAGATTCAAACCCAATACCTCATGATATCAATTGAGCAACCCACTTATTCACAATTTATTTCCATCTATTTATAATTTAAACAATTTATAAAAAAACTCCCAACGTGCTCTAAATCTTCCCCTAACCTGCCACAAAATCATGATCTATAGTGCAAAAAGATTTACTACACAACTCACTCTCCAAGCAAACTCATAACTTGTAATGAGGTAACGACCACTTACTTGGGTCCAACTCAACAAAAGCATGACATGAGACCACTAAATAGATAATTAATAGACGTAAAAGCCACTCCAGAAGAAAGTCGAATACAAAGCAAATAAGGAAAAAGATCATCAGACCAAAGCACAAGCAAGCACTAGTCACGGGCGAATAGGCTTGTATCTTTACTGGTAAACGAGACTCTAGTATTTCTAGGTTGGAAAGACGCCCTATTACTGCATTCAACCACTTATGATCTAGGACGCCTAAAATAACATATGAACCTTCTTCATAAGACAACCTCATCTTGGTTCACGAGCAACTACATATGCGCTATATCTTGTCGAGCTTTTGGGCCCTAACAACTGGGTTGGCTTTGGCTATAGATTCCTGACCAGCTGCATGATAATCAAAAGGGCATTCATGTTTGTCGGAGTAGCGGTGAACAGCACAGAAAAGATTGCCACATCGACAATTAAAACCCATCAAACCAACACGCTTCTTGCAGGTGCTGCATCTCTTCGGACCTTGTTTAACCTCCTCACTTTTCTCAGTTGCTGGTGATGCAGTTGACGCTTGTGCTGATGCAACAACTGTATCTGGTGAAGCTGTCTGCGCATCCATAAGTATGGCAACATTTGAACCATTTCCATTAGAGTTGGAGCTCTCATTCACAATACTCTCAATCGATGAAGCAGCAAGCTTGGCCTGTTGTTGCTTCAAAACCATGTCTTTATAACACTTGGAGCACATGTTCATAGTTGCTGCCGTTCCAAAGAATCCACAGTTATTGACACAAAGGATTGGAGCTTGAGGAGCTTGGCATCCAGTCTCATTTTGCTCCATCTTTCAGATTTTTCCTGAACCGAAGTAAATTAATGAAGCAGTACAAAAGCAACACTCATTCAAGATTGTAAACCTAATATAATTAACTGCCCAATTCTTCAATGGATTGCCATACCACTTCTGAATTAAAACACACTCAACATACAATGTAACAGCTGTAGCATGTTTTGTTCGAACTTGAACACAAAATAAAGCAAGACAAAATGCACAACCCACTATTCAAGTTTCTCTGCTGCAAGAAGAGATAAATGCATATTGTCACCACCGGATCAAACTCTCCACAAGGAATTTCTATGCTAAGAAGCACGGATACGGATACGTAATTCGGGTATGATACGATACGGATACGCCAATACGACTTTTTTGAAAAACTTGGGATACGCCGATACGTGATATAAATTTCAACATAAATTTATTAATGTTAAAAAACATTAATACAGAAGCATGATAATGAAAATAAATAAACTACCAAAGCACTTTATCTAAATCATTAAAGGTAGAAACTTCACTTCCTTCAACATCATCAACAATTTCTTCATTATTATTAAAAATAACAATCTTTAACTCTGGCTCATCTAATGATAGATTAGCAACCTCAAGTCTAACATCTTCAAGAGTATCAAAAAAGTTTCCAACAATGTCCTACATTTTGGATTCTCCTATGAATAAAGATCTATTTTTATTTTTTTTTAATAAAAGACGCAAATTGCTATGAATGAAAACCAATTCTTCAACTTGTTGTAGATTTATTTTATTCCTTCTCGTAAAGTGTACAAAAGACTAGGCACTAGATGAAGAAGAAGAAGGTTGTACAAGAAGTTTCAAAGCAGTATTTTGTAGTGAAGGTGCATGCTAATCATGAAGTATCGGATACATATCAAAAATCATACAAAAAATATAAAATAATTAAAAAATACGTATGGGATACGTATCTGATACGTAAAAAATATAAAAATATATAAAATAATTAAAAAACAAGTATCCGGTACGTATCAAAGGGTATCGGAGAGTATCGATGTATCGGATACGGATACGTAACAAGTTTACAAGTATCGGTGCTTCTTAGTTTCTATGAGCCTGCACAATAAGCTTCACATTGCAAAAATTATCATAACCACTTCATTTACATTCTCTTATTTTCGTAATCCAACCTTTCCATAGATGCATTAAAGAGAAAAGCTGACCAGTAAAATTGACCTTATATAAAAAATACAAACACTATAGCAGATCCAGCTCAAGATACTGCAAGCAAATCCCCACAAGGTCTAATTCTACATTCAGAAGCATAATGGAATAAGTCGCAGTGCTTTTTAACTCCTAATAATCATAAGATAACTGCATTGAACTGATCTGCATAGAAAGGAAGCCTATGTCCATAACATACCTAGAGCATTTAATTTTAGCAACCTGAAGGAGAAAAGTATAAACAAAATTTGCATTAGTTTACGTATAATGGATTTGAAATAACCTTAAATGGCATAACAACTGCAGGTAACGCATTTCTCACACAATATGATAAATTATCGTAAGCTTCACATTGCATGAACTATCCCACTCACATCTCGACTAGGTCTCCGCTTCATTCAGAATCAATCATGATGGAACAAACTGCAGTGTTTCTATCTCCTAGATAGTCATAAGAAAACTGCAAAAAACTTTATTTGCATAAATAGATAGCTTATGTCCATGATAGACCCACATCATCCCATGCCAGAGACATAAAGGAGAAGTTAAAAATAAATTTCCCATTAGTATATTAATTCATGCTCAAGTGAATTTCAATTTTTTTTTATTTTTATTTTTTTCAGGGAGATGGGGAAGCAATGTCAGGTGCTAAAAGAAAATATGGAATGGTGTCTACTTGGACATTAGCATTATTTATCATAATGATTCTAATGAAAATAACAGGAATTGCATGTACCATATTCTTCATTAAATATGATAAATCATCATAGATTTCATGTCGCTCAAACCATCGTAATCAGTTAATTTACACTTGCCTATTTCCACATTATAGATTTACTCAAAGATACATTCAACTGAAAATCCAAAAGTAAATTTCTCATAAAAAATATACATGTAAATATCGCAAGTCAGTTCAGACACTACATGCACAACTCTACTAGGTGACATGCCCTATTCAGAAGACAATCGTATGGATAAAGACAAAATTTTAACTTCTAAATAGTTATAGATATCTATATTAAGCTTTTGTTTGACGCCCATTTTTTGAGAATAGATTTTGTAGAAAGTAATTCTTTTTGAAGAATGTGTGGTTGAAAACTAGGAAAATGTTTTGAAGTGAAAAATTATTATTGTGAGAATGTGTGGTTGAAATGAGTTTTGTAAAAAAAATAAATTATAAAGAATGGGGATCAAACAGGTGATAAAATTTATATGCAAGCTTATGTCCATAACAGACCTACATCTCCCTCTAGCAACCCCTAGTGGAAAGTATAAATAAATTTTTCATTAGCTTAGCCTCCATTTGGGAAGAATTTATAAATGGTTTAATTTATTTATATATAGATAGAAACGAGTGGTGGATGTCAACTTAGGAGTCCATTGATTTGTGGGATTGAAAATGAAATTTGATTATTTACAAATGATCTATAAATTTTGCCAAACAGAGTAGTCATGCTTGTGTGCATGTTTTTCTTCTTTTCTTACCTATTCTTGGCAAGGGGGAACAAATTTCAGGTGCTAAAAGGAATTTATGAAATGGAAACTCCTTGGAATGTAGCACCATTTACCATTAATGAATATGGATATTGCCTTTAATGGCATAAGAATTGCATGTAACACATTCTTCATAAAATATGATAATATGCTGAAAGTATATGTATCAAAAAGCCTTATGAAAAATACAAAATAAAATAAAATTGCCATTTTAAAACTCGTAATTTCATCGCACTCTATCTAAAAGATTCCTTCTAACTAAGATCCTGTTTGAAGCGTCACCTGATCCTCATTTCATTCGTGGAACGTTCAGTAAAATAAAATAGAAAAAAAACTGCAAGAAAAATTCATGGAATGAATGCTATGATTTCATCTTAGATATAAATCTGAATATTTTCTGCAAGTGATAGATCTCTTCGAAGTCAGGACTAAGGGTGGAAAAACTTCTTCCAATTCTAAACACAGAAGAAAAAAAAAGAGATGAAAGAAACACTTAGTGCGAGACTTGATATGTGGGCACATATTGTAGGTTTTGAAAAAGATAGATGTAGACCGAGAAGTATGGACAACAGGCACCCTTAAAAGGCATCAATTTTATACACACACTATAAGTTCAATCCTCACGAACACCCTGGCATATTCTGTGGGGTCCCCACAATAATATCCGTACTTAATTAACAAACTTCAACCAAATAAACAGCCTTGAAAAGCATTTATAAAAAAGAATGTTTGAGGCATATGCCTCAAATCCCACTCATCAATTACGTGATTACTTCTAGATAATAGTAAATTGAAAAAGTGCTTGTAAGAAGTCCATGTCAAAATAAGTAACTTATGATTAAAAAAAAAAAAGCTATTTATTTAAACTTACTTTTTCTTATATACAAACTAATAAGCCTTAAAGTTCAATTTGTGAGGCTTACGCCTCAAGATGACTAACGTGTTTGCCACTTTTGTCTTGCAATTTCATGACACATTATTGGCTTTGGTCTTTTGAGTTATTTCTTCGAGACCTAAAATTTTTACTAGTTCTTTTATTTTATTTTTTAATACCTATACATAAAGAAAAGGGAAAGAAGAATACACCAATTGCAAGTGGAAGATGATGGCAATGAATGAGAAGAAATTTATAGCAACGAGGATGATGTTGATGGTTCCCTAAAAGATCATAATATAAGAGATTTTTGAGCTCTTTCAACTTCTAGAAATAGAATATAACTCCATAATGATATTATTAATTTAAGAATTTATTATTTTGTATTTATGTTCCATTTTCAAAATAGACTTGTAATTTGTTAATTTGTTTTATTTTGAATTTTTTAGATTGTTTATGGTTTATTATGAACATAATTCCAAATTACAATAGAATTATTTTACTTGTCTGATGCCTATGTTGTTGCAGAAGTAAAATGCTTAGTGGCGGATTAAGCCTTTTTACACATTGTCGACAACAATCCTATAACCTAACTACTTGCTTTCCCACTTGTGACCTATTTGTTAACCCTCAAAAGCAAGGAGAGGGACATCACGAAGCTCAATTTATTTCTGCAGATCAGAAATATACAAGATCAAGCACAGAGTGATTCTCATGGCGCATAGGAAATCAAACTGGGAGAGGAATGGAAAATTTGCTTTACCAGTAAAATTTTCTTAAGTTTCCATTAATAACTAAAACCATCATCACCAACCCCAAAAGAAAAATGTGCTGCCAAAAAGGGCTGGTGGAGGAAACCGCAAAAAGAAATAAACAATATGCAGCCAAAGAAAAGAAAGGGAGGTTACAAGAAACGACAAGAATTCGGAAGAAAAAAGGGAATTATTTGGAACTATGAGCTGCTTTACATTTAAGGCAGCTGATTATCAGATTCACTGGCCCACAATCGTACATCTACCATTACATACTGAATATCAACTAATCAATCACTAAATATAGAAGTGCCTAGCCTGTTACTAACACTTTTGAATGGATATTGCAATTTAGCTAGGACAACAAATTTCCACAACTAAAATCCTTAACAACCATTGAAACTTGATTTCTGTCTTTGGATATCTATTGATGTATTGGTATGGTATCCATAAAAAATCAGGCTAATTATTTATCTTATACTATAGATATTATATATTCCTCTTCTACCTTCTATTTGTCTTCAGTAGGCAACACGTGTCTTTTCTTTTACATCTTCTGTGAAGCTCTAACATTGATTTTTAAATTCGCATATTTAACTCAATAATAAATTTCGACACAAATCAGAACACTTATATAGAATAAAATCCGATTTTTAACTTTTTGATTCTCAAGGGACCTTATGATTAATTTGCTTTTATCAAAAAATTCCTCAATCCAAAGTATATGTGCCAAATTTTTTTTTTTCAAATCGCCACTGAATAATCATTTCTATCCGTCAGCTTCAGCAAAAAAATCATATAATACACGCTAAAAAAAAATTTTAAAAATTAAAAATAAAAATAACAGGAGGAATTGCACATAAACACTAACCTGTTCGCAGAGGAGACAAAAGAGTAGTGTCTGAGATTCAGCTTCTAGTTCCCTACAAAATAAAAATCAACAAAATTAAAAAGAAAAAAAAATCAATCAAACAGTTACAATCAAAACAATTCATCATAATCACACAGTCAATTATTCATCATAAATATGGTTTTCTGTGTATTCATATATATACACACACACACACACAGAGAAATACGAACCCTAGAAGCGAACAGGAAATTATGATAGATAAAAGCAGAGGAGAGAAAAGAAACCGGCTATTCTATATGTGAGATAGGATCGAGCGAACTACACAATTAATAAAAGAGAAGAAGAAATAGAGTAATTATTCTCTACATACAGTTCGTGTAATCCGTCGTAACGTTTCGGATTTTGATTGGTAATCCACCATTCTAGCCAATGAAAATTAGGCTTAGGAAAAGGATGTTGAATCGAGAGCACTAGATTATAATAAAGGAATGGGAAATGTGTAATGGGATATGATCTGTCATTTTTAAAAATTTAAAAAATGTTAAATGGACGCTGTCACATGATACGTGGCTTTAAGTTTTATTTTTTTATTTTTTTTAATCAAATTTTAATCACACCTTCTTTACAACGTCACTAATCCAAAATCATTTTCACACAAACATGTAGGGTGCGTTTGATTGCACAAATTTTCCATAAAAAATATGTTTTTTCCACCTAATTTCCTATATTAACTTGTTTGATTGACAATTTTTTTAAGAAAAATATTTTCTTATTTTTGATCACGTGATCTCATTTTCCTTTAAAGCAAGGAAAATATTTTGCTTAGGGGGGGGGGGGGCCGTTTAAGGAAAATATTTTCCCTGGCGAGAGGGTGGATTTTATTTTCGAATTCAATCGTTCCAAAAAATTCTCCACCCACGTTAACATCTCTCTCTCTCATCTCTATCCACGTAAAAATCCATACCGTCTTTCTCATCTACTCAACCGAACCAGGAACAAGAAATCGACTACCCATCTCTGCTTCCATATTTGCCTCCAGGGAAATCATTAATGGCGAGGAGCAGCAGATCGTGGTCGAGCAGGTGGAGATATTTAAATACACCGTATTATTTGAAGAGACCGAAGCAATTGGCGTTGCATTTATAGTTTTCGTCTTCGGCACCTTAGTTGTTTGGGATCGCCAGACTCTAGTACGCGAGCACGAGGTAAGATTATGTTAATATTTTGGTTTTAATTTGATTGTCATTTTATCAATTGAAATCGAGAAGGATTTGAATTTCGTTTTTATGCTTTGGTGTTTGAAACAAAGTGTATGACGAAATAGTAATTGTGATTTTTGTGTCAAATAATTGAAGGGATCGATTCGACCGAAGGTTAAGCCTTCTCCTTCAATTCAGAATTCCCCAATCTTCTCTCCAAAATTCATACGAGCAGTAACGACTAACGAGCTCCAATTCCAAATAGAAAAGGGTTAAGGGTTGGACTTCTAGTTGTTTACAATTTATTTTCTCCAATTGAGAAATCAGAAATGCAACCCAAACATTTCTTTGGTTAACTATAGTATTTACTTCTGCGCCCAGGAAAATCAGAAGGAGAATGGAGAAAGAGTGCCTATAATGTACTGCCTGTTGGTTTAATCAGATTGATGGGGCCAAAATTAGATGAATAATAGTGATTTGATCTATTTGAGGGACAAACTTGAGCTAAAAGCTGTCAATGATGGGCCATCAAGTAATGCAGCTTCTAAATTCTCATTGTGATGTAAGGTAAATGTTCAGGTAAATTCTTATTTTGTTGAACATTGAATCTGAATTTTTTTTTGTCAATAATACGTGAAGAGTAAAATAGAAGATTGGTTATGTTAAGGTATAGGTTCAAAGGTGAAATGTCCTTGCTGTTGTCTGTCAAAGCTAATTTAAAGCTCTATTTTGTCAAGCTTTTATACTCGACCTTCACTTTATC